CCTAACATATGGCCTAAGTATCCTTGGACAGAGAGTTTGAGAAAGCGAGATAGGAAGAGAAGGAGAGAGGCACGCCCTCTTTTATCACCTTGCATACAACCCTCTATGGGGCACATGTTAATGGCATATCTTTGAGCATTGATGGAGATTCTTTGGTGCCATTCTTGGACCTTATTCCTTGTTGTCCCTCCCCATTTATGGCAGTTAACTTCTACTTTGAGCCTACTTTTCATGGTTCAATGGTTGCGCATTACATGCCTTTCAATTCCTACATATGCTAGCATGATTGTAGTTTGATTTTAGGCCATTTCCTTGAGATTTTGGTTGAGGTTTTCTTAGCTGAATTATCTGCATCTTTTCACCCACAACAGCCAAAATTTAAGTCTCCTTCTCATCTTAAAAGGTTGATTTTACAAGGGGTTATTATGCCAAAATTTCCCTTACACCGTATTGAAGTTTTATTGATCATTAATTCGGCTTCCCATAACTTTGAGACTACGTGCACAATTTGGTGGTGTGTATGTAACTTGAGATTCACTCAATTTGTGTATTTGATGGTTATATAACTAGTATAATTAAAGTCCTTGTGTTGTGGACAGATTTTCATGTAATTTGATTATGTCATGTTATATTTTGGCCAATCTCTATGTTGAGTTTTAAGCGGAACAAGTAGTGGACCAATTCAAAGTGATATAGGTAGTAACTTGGGGTGTAATATTGGTCACGTGTTTGTAAGTTAAAGTGAATCGTATCTTGTTGTAATTTCAGACTTAAAAGTTGTATTTTGGGTGTTTCCTGGAAAAAATTTAAAAGTTGTATCCCTTGGGCGAATAATCTAGACACCCTGACAGGGAGCCTGGACCTAGGTGCTCATTAGCTCAGGTTCAGGTCCGGTGTGACCAACCAAGCAGTCCTCATGACCCTTTTCTTCTGTTAAATTTTTTTTATGTACATAACGCATATAATAATGTACAATACATTATTATCATGTTAATAGCCCATAACCCCAACACCAGGTCCACTGGACGATCATGGGTCTTGCTATATTGAAACCTTGTTGTCCCAGGGTCTTGCTATATTCACACCTTTTTGTCCCAGATCCGAGTACACTAATCCCTTCCCCGGTCCGGGTACCATAATCCCATCCTTGGTCGGGTCTGGGTAAGTTGTTTCTGAACCCAACCAGGTCCAGGCCAGAGGTGGACCTTGGGCCAATTGTGTTGGGTCGAAACGACCCATTTACACCCCTACTTATCAACCTTACTAGTCACTAGTCTATGCCACAAACTAACGCTGCCCTTCCCACTTTCTTGATAAGGAATAACTCAAGGATAGGAAATAAAATGCCCTCATCATCGGAAGACAACATATGCGGTTAAGATTTTGACATTTTCATACAATCGTTGGATAGCAAATTTACATTCCAATGTACTAAGATTGCAACATGGATATATGATAACAAACTATTCAAGGAATATGAAACACAACTTTTTTTATTTATTTTTTGAGGAAATCATGAGACACATTCATTGAAACATCACCTCCACAATCCAATAATTCCTAAACTTTAGACCTTTAAGATCATCATGAACCCCATTTTAGACAGGATGGATCATATTATTCATTGCAATGGCATCATTACATCACAGTTATGACAATCCAATAACTTTACTTCATACCTGATTTGATGATGCGAACATATTGAGCCGCTTGAAATCCACGAATGCAAACATCTCAGGTTAGGACAATTTTGATTCTGAGATAAATGAGCTAAACCCTATCCTTAATTCAATGAAGTTTCCAACCAATGATTATGGCATTACATGTTATTTTTTGTGAAAATTGTCTTTTGAAACATTTATGGGTTTTTATAGTTCATTTCTGAGAGTTTCCTAAAGGGAGAGTATGCCTTTGCGAAGCATGCGACGCACACGTGTGTAAGTGGGCTACAGCGATAGCACAAGGTCAGGGTGTGTTCGCGCTATGCCTAAGTTTTTGGCCTACAGAACAATGTGCCCCCAATGGACCTTGATTTTATTTTTTAAATTCAAAAATTGAATTTTTCCACAGCTTGCTGCATGCCACATGTGAAGTAAAGTCTGCTACGAGCGAAATAAAGTACGCTGCAAGCAAAAGTGTAAATTTGTTGCCAGGGAGCTCGTTTGTTTGATCATGACCAAACTAATTGATTGATCATATTGGGCCATTTAGTCGTGGCAGTCCATTAGTTATGGACCGCCACTTGTCATCTTCCCTTTAAAAGGGAAACTGCCATGTGTCACCGATTAGGTGACATGTTGCTTGACTTTTTAATAACAATAATAATATAATAATTACTAATATTAGTAATAATAATAATGATAAGGAAAATTGTTTCATGCGAGCTGGACCGCATGACTAAATATGAGGGCAAAAAAGTGTGGAGCATCCATTTTAAAGATGAATGCAAGTATATGTTCCATCTAAAAACAATGGAAACTAACGGTCCAAATGTTTTCTTACTAGAATTATTATTTCTAATTTTTAAAATTTATTTATTTATTTATATTCATGATCTCCATGTTGGAGATTACATGTCCTTAAAAATTTAGTCCAAAAATCCATCTAAAAAATGGATTTATTAATAGGCCCGCATTTCTACATATGCAGGCCTAGCCGCATAGAAACCGGGTCCTGATGATAATGATAATAATAATATCAATAATAATAGTAATAATAATGGTAATGATATTAATACTAATGATAATGATAATAATATATTACACACTTATTTTGGATGTGCAGATTTTCCACCTAAATCGAGAGGAAAGCCAGTGCTTATAGTTGCCCCGGTTTGCCATTTTCTTTCCTCTATCTCTTTTGTTCTCTCTGAGTGAAATCCTCGCCTTTCTCTCTCCACTTCCATTTTTGACTAGTGAAATCAGAGGATCCAATTCTCTCTCCTCTCTCTATAACGAAATCCATGCCAAGCGAATACCATGGCAAAATCAGAGCATCCACTTCTCTCTCCTCTTTCTGTATCTAATCTCCCTTTCTCATCCTTCCAATGACCTCCCTTTCTCTGCCTGTCTCACACGTCAGATCTTGTCCTCTTGCTTATTGCTCGGAGCCCAAGCCGAGGATGGAAGAATGAAATGGAATTCAATTGGCTCCCAACTCCATTTGAATTCAGTTCTCTCTGCTTCAAACTCCACAAACGATCCCAATCTCTTTCTTTCTATGTTCTTCACTTCTTCTAATCACTTCAACTTTAGTTAAGTACTATGATTAACCCATATCAATTCCTTTCTTCTTCTTTTCAAAACCATATAAACGAATCTCTTGACATTTCTCTCCCTTTCTTTTCTTCATCTCATGCAACTCATCTCCATTGTTTCCACTTCAAATTTACTTAACATCAAGACATCCCCATCTCTTACTCTCTTTCTTTTTTCTCAACTCATACAACCAGTTTTAAATTTTAATTCCTCCTCAACCAAACCCATTACGTTAGTTTAGAATCTTATGAGTTCAATTCCTTTCCTCTAGGATTTGTCCTGGCAGGTTAGAACAGCTTGAGTTAAATTCCTTTCCCTCCAGGAATTTTCACAGTGAGCACATGGAAGAACATTGAAACCATGGCATCGCCCCTCCCCCCTTCCCCATGCCTTTTGGTTTTCTGAGGGGAGACAATGATCCGACAGATTTTCTTTTAGAGAAACAGCCCAAGTAAAATGGCTTCGTTAAAGTTAATTGATTGAAAGGCAAAAAATAGATGTCGCCTCTGGTGGTCTAGTTCCCTCATTAGTATTTGTAAAAAGTCTGGACCATCCTTTTATTACGGATGGCATAGGAAGCCTATTGGTCCCTACCCATGTAAAGACAAAAATCAAAGGATGATAGTTGCGGTATTAGAAGATCTTTAAGAGTGCAACCCAGAGATCATAGGAGAGTTTTTTGCAGATTAGTTGTATCCCAGGAGTATACTTGCCAGAACCTGGTTGCATCTTGGATCATACATCAAGTCAGGGGCTTTTAATAAGTCAAAGAGTGCAAGAGGATCTTGTGCCTCCATCCTTAGGAAATTTTGTATATTTTCCTGCTGTCTTCTTCTACTCTAACATCCAAAACATTAAAGAGTACTCAGAAAATAATTGAAAATTGACTTCGGTCGAAGGGAAACAGAAAACCAACATTACATTCCCCAATCCTATGTATATAATACTTCTCATGGATCCAAGATTCTCCACTCGTAGAATTTCCACTTCGGTTCGCTCTTATTATACAAGCCCAATCATTGCCTTACCTCCAAAATCCTTCTGTTGTCAGACTACAATGCTTATTTCAGAGGATCAATGCCAACTCTCTATATTTGATGGCCATTTTTCATGTTCATAGAGGACAGAATGCTTGACTTGATGCCAGTTCAGTAATCGTTGGCCATTATTACAAAGAGTCATCTAAAGAAGTGTCCATAACGCATTGCCGATATCAATGAAGGATTTCAGAACCTACCAGACTAACTTGCCTAAATCGACCACTTTTTTCACCACATATGCCGCCTATGAATCATTTGTAATCAGCCATCTTTTTTGTTCTTAATAATGTTATTTGTCTTTAGCCAACATAATAGTAACATATAAAATAATACCTCAGCCATGTTTCAAATCAACATTCCCATGAGAGCAGACTGGAACAAGACATGTACAATAAATACAGACTTCAGAAGCAAAAACACAAGTCTTCTGGTAAACACATAATTCCATGCAGCACAATATAAGAAGAGCTCACAAAGCGTCAAGGCTCCAAGAGTAACCACCTATTTCATTCAGTGCAAATTTTCTCATTATATGGTAACCAATAAATAATGAACGAGCATCTTAATATTGAAATGATGAGCAAGGCAAAGTAATCCATATTCTCAAGGCATTTTCTGGACAACAAGGAGTTTCAACTTCAACATATAATGAAATCAAAACATGCATCTTAAGCCTTAAGACCTTAAGACATGAACTGTATACCTTGCTCATTAATATTGGGAAGCGGGACTGCAGATCAGCCATTTGAGATTCCCCACCATATATTTCACCAGAAGCAACGTATATGGGCGTACTCAAGGGATATCCGAGGGCTGTAAGGAACATGGCGACCTCTTTTGGAGTCAGAGGACAGTATCCCTTGACCCTTTGATCCCTAGGGTCGATGTGCTTTACCCTCCACTGGGGAGTATTTTCTCTAGAAAAGGTTGAAAAGAGATGTCACCGTTAATGACGAAATTAACATAACCTGAGTGAAGTAAAGAAGAACTCCAAAGCTAAGCTGAAAGGCCAATGCACCTAATGTTGGCAAGCTCCTCAGCTTCATCTGGGGACAACCCATACGTGCATCCGCTGAATGCAAGCATGTCCTTCTCATAACGCAAATGTAAAGCTATGTAAGGACCATATGACCTCATCCGTTCCACCAATAACTGCAAGTGAAGCAATGCAAGAATCCTATTAACAAATTATAGAGAGGGTAATTATTACAATGGACCAATTTCCATAATTGAAAAATATATCCACACTTTTCCCAATTTCTCGATGCGAGGAGAGAAACGGAGGGCATTGTAGAAAGCACGACAACGGAGCTTCTGAATGTCAAGAGGCAAATTATTATTCGCTAGCCGCGAATCTGATTTCGCAGCTCGAATAACCTGCGAAAGGATTAACTTATATGAGAGAAAACTCTAGTTGCCTTCCAAAATAAGCTTCTAAGTCATATATCACACATGGACCTGATAGTCTTCCCACAAAGGAAATATCTCATTCCGATAGTATTCTACCCCAGACCAGCTTCTAAAATGTTTGACTGCTTTAGTTGTTGTTGTCAACTCCTTTGGCAGTTTTTTCACCACTGTAACATCACTGGCCAAGGCACTAATGAAATATTCTTCATCAAACACATCTGAAAAATTGCTGCAAGTGCAATGATACAACTTGTCAAACCCATAGTACATTCTCACAGGTGCCAACTAAACACCAAGGACAAGAAATCAAAGTAGACAAAGATAAGAAAAAGAAAATAAAAAGATTGAGAACAAGTCAGAATGCCACCTAGAATCTTGCCAAAATGAACGTTTATCAAGTTCTGGGATCACAACAGTAGCATTTAAGATCCTAGCCACGGCAACCATGTCACATATCTGCAATTTAAAGTTTACAACTTAGCTATGATAAAGGTTGACAGCTCTTTATTATTGCTAAATAACAGATACAAACAAAAACAGATGTAATTCAGACTCGAATATTGTCACCATGCAATAACAAGTTGAACAATTGGCAAACATGTCACACCAAATTTCATCAACAAGTTGCATATGTAGCCTAAAAGGTAAACTAATTCCACAGGAATCTTTGAGTGCTTTATCTGTCAAAGTACCAATTTGTAGCCAACCCCAAATGTTAAATGGTTGGTCATAGGCAGTTCTATAGAAATTACAGGATGTGGCAGTACTAGATAATGTCATCAACCAAATAATAAAAGAATCTAGATCGAAGCCCGAGGCACACTTTAGAAATCTACAATGAGTCCACATAAGATGGGAAGGATTCTCCGTTAATATAGAAAAAGTGTAGCACAATGGTCTGAGTTCTCCATGTTTCATAGAAGGGATGAGCAGAAGAATATCTTATTCAAATTACAATTTCATATAGAAAGAAAACTAGAAGAGAGTGGCCATGAAATTGGGAAAAGCAATGCTGCATATGAGACCACATCCCATAATGTGGCATATTAGTTGATTAGCATTGGATGTTATCACTGCTTATATACCTAAAAGAATCAACAAGACAATGACAAGGCCCTATCCAAATTTAAAATTCTGGAAGGAATCAGTGCAAGATAAAGACAAGACATATCTAGTAAAGTAGCACAGTACAGTGGTTCATTTTTTCAGAGCCCAATGGAATGAGAAACTTAGATGGATATTATTTTCTTACAGATCAAGTTCTCCAAAAAAGGAACGACGACCAGATGAAAAACCAACATTTTTTGGTACAGAGCTCCCACAAGGTGGGAAGCTCATTTTTTGCATGGAGCTCCCGGTATGTGGGAAGCCCTAAACTTCTACTTGTATCAATTTACCTTAATAGATTTAATCGCTTAAAAAAACTAGATGAAAAACCAATGTGATCACATCACATAAGATGTCCATTTCAATTTTCTGCAACCATAGGTTGTCTTATCGGCATGAGATAGAGAAGTACGTTTCACCAAACTAAAACCCACTGTAACATTGCAAGATAGTGATTGAGACTGGAAGAATTTTCTATGTAGCCCTGGGTATTTGCTAAAGAAAGCAAGTAGACAAGGATGTGCTGGTGACGAAATTATTCCAGTAGAGAGCAAATGATAGCAAGCATTTCAGGTTATATGTATCTGGCCTGGGATTGGTTAAGGTGGCTATGTCCTACCACTGATCGACCCAAAAAGAAAAAGAATATATATATATATGTATATATATATATATATATATATGGCTGGTTATACAATACTTCCAGCATCCATTAGTGCCAATTGGTATACTTTTACAACCTTGCACAAAATAAACTAAAAAAGGTTTAAATAACAATGCTGGTTATCTGGGAAGAAAATGGAAGATGGATATAAGAAGTTGAGGTTGAGAGAGAGAGAGAGACGAGGGTCACATACTCCAGCACGCATCTGGTTAAGCCCACCATTTGTATGAACCAGCAGATACCCTCTTGACTCCCCAGGAGCTGAATCAGAACAAGCCATACCATTAGACAAAATGTTCATGCGATAGTTATGCAGAGATAAACAGAGACTTGTGAGTTGTGACATACATGTATAGGGATCACTTGGCTCCACACAAGGTGCAAAGTTACGACCAGAAGGTGGCTTCCATAGCTTGTAAGGTTCAACCAGCCCAGTAGCACCATCCAACTGTCAAGTCTAGGGGAGTGAAAACATGAAATATGCATGACTACTTTGCGTATCAAAAAATATAAAATTAACCCATGCTCCTTATACATTGTTTCATTGACCAGCATTTTACTTATTGTCACATCACAACAGCATATAAGCAAATACAAATGAACCAAAAGACAACAGCTGATCAATAATAATCAGCAAAATACCAATCAAAGAAACCTCAGAACTAATCGGAATATTTATAATGTGGTAATTATGGAAGCTTTTAGACTCAATCGACAAAATCCACACAATGACAGGGTTAAGGGATCATCGCAATAACTTTCCCACAAAAGACTCTGAAAGATGATATATGCATGTGAAAAAGAAACACGATCACCTTAGGTGATGGTTGAGGCTCTTTGGATAGATGGGGAGGAGAGGACTCTCTTGTCCAGTGCAGCTCATTGCTCCGTCTTTGGATCCCAATCTCATGCTGCTGCAGAAAGTGGGCTTATCAATAGTTGATCTTAAATTAAATATTTCAATAACTGAGTGTCCTAAGGAACATGAATTACTAATATTATTCAGAGTTAGACAAACATATTCATCAAAACATCATAAGTGAGTGAAATAAGAAGATAGAAAAATAAAATTGAATACAAAAGCACGTTCCAAGAACCCCAAAAAAATAAAAATTACCATGGGGGAGCATGTGCCTTCAGTTTGGATTAAAAAATGGCATTTCTTATTGAATGCTAACAAAGGCCAATTCTTTGCAATACAGTTCCCAATATTTTTACTTTTTTAATTGGCACTAATTTCTTCTTTTTCTTTTTTCATTTCTTTTGCTAATATCGTGCCATTGCAAATATTACCATTACAAAATCCAGAAAGGTAAAAACTGAAGTAAGATCTAACCTCAAAGTACACCGAAACCCTGTGTGTGAGCGCTAACAACAAACATTGAAATACCTCGATGGTTATAAAGGAACTGTTAATTAAGATCAAGTATGCTATAGACAGAACTTACTACGAAAAGCACAGACACATCAATTGTAGCAGTCATGATCCCAAGAATGGATCACAATAAGCAAGAACATTAAAACTAGAAACAGAGAGAGATAGACAGAGAGAGAGCACCAAAGATTTTCTGCTCGGAAATAGTTTGAATATGAATTCAGTACTAGATCTTCTTAAGAAAATATCCAGAAACTCTTTGTCTCCAAACCCTGAATTTCTTCCTTCACAAACTTTAAAGAACACAAAAAATGAACAATGAACACAAAGGAAACACTACCAATCACTTCCTACACATCCATTCTGGGAAGGGCCTAAATAGAAATAAATACATAACATAAAAAAATGAAAATAAAAGATCATGAAAAAGAACTGCACTTTCTCAAAGAGAAAAGAAGGAAGAATCAAATCATGTACCTTGGGCAGCTTGTAAGAGCCCAAAATGGAGGATTTCGAAGCCGGAAAAATGCGAGAGGAGAGAAGAGTCCCAAGAGCAAAGGTTGTGAGGCCGCACACCAGTAACAGATGTAGCAGAGGCACTCTGCCCAACATCCTCAGTCTTGGCCTTCGCCTCTGCATCTCTCTCTCTAGAGCAAGCAATCACCAGTGATATCTAAAACCAATTCTTCAACTTGGGTTCCACTCTGCAGTAACGTGGGAAGACAGTGAGCAACTAAAAAAAGTTGCAGAGGGAATTAGTAGAGAGAGAGAGAGAGAGAGAATGTTGTCGTTTGGCTGTTAAACGGTGGGTAATGAGAAGGGAAATGGAGGATGCATCCGTTGCAAGAATACCAGAAATGGCCTGCATTTACTGAGGAGCCTACAACTGTAACCAATCCCCACTTTTTTCAAACTCACGCACCTTTATTTCAATCCCCGACGCCTTCTCCCTCACTATCTCTTTCTCTCTCTACCTCTTTCTCTCTCTATTCTTTGTTGTGTTTGGCTCTTGCTAGTAAGGAAATTCCCCCTCCTGTCTCTTTCACCATATATACACCCTTTCTTGCTCTCTCTACCTCTTTCTCTCTCTATTCTTTTTTGTGCTTGGCTCTTCTTGATTATAAGGAATGGATGGATTTATTGGGGAAAACGGCTTCTTGTTGCCGATTGCCATCTCGAGGGTTTTGTCCCACCCCCTCTTAATCACGAGCCCTTTACCATACGAATCAACGGTTGCCTGGGACTTATGAAATGTTGAGGTGTGAAGAAAGCCCGTGGGGTTCTCAGATATAACGGCGTTGCCCTTCACCCTTTCCTTTTCTTAATAAGACAATTAACATGTCACCATCTTTATTAGCTATGGATATATTGAAAAATGACAAAATTTTTGAGATTTTACTTCGATTTTGTGCATGGTACATACTTCGTAAAGGTTTAGAGTTAATTACGTATGGACTCTATGTAAGTGAAAGTACTATATGCGCTCTATGCGAAAGTTACATCCAAAGTCGTTCAATGTTAATTTTTTTTTTTTTTTTTACTAAAATTATCTTTCAGTCCGAGGATATCATTCTTGAACTGTTTTTTTTTTTTTCAAACTTTAAGTTGTGGTATAATTTTTTTTTTTTTCAAAACTTAAGTTGTGGTCTGATATTGAAATTCTCGGACCAAAACCTAAATTTTGAACAAAAAAACTTAAAAGTGGTCCGACATATTTTTATTTTTTTTTTCAAAACTTAAGTTGCGGGCCGAGAATTTTAACCTCGGATCAAAAGTTAAGTTTTGAAAAAAAAACAAAAAACAAAAAAAAAACGATATGAGAATGTCATTATCATATTGCAAGTTTAAGTTTAAAAAAAAAAAAATGGTGTTGACCGACTTTGATTGTAATTTTTTAATATAAAAAGAGCAACTCGTATTTTTCTAACTTATTTAAGGTCCGTACATAAATAACTCAAATGTTTATATAAGGTTGCAACTTTAAAATGTTGAATTAAAGATGTACTTCAAACCTCTATTGGAAAAGGTTGTTTTAATGTTTAAAAAAACTATAATTGGTCATCTCAACATTGTCGAGATATATATATGTTTGTTTTTTTTTTAGTCCCAGAAATAGTGCGTCCTGCAACACATTATCTAAACCATCTATTTTCAAAAAATTTATATGTTTATTGATCTACTTGATTTTAAGAATTTTTGGAGTTTAATTTTATAATTGGATATGAAAATAGATTTTGAGATAATCCTAAAAAAATTTACACCAAAATTACATGTTATGATAAAATTTGGAGGTGCGGCTTAATTGGACCGTTGAAGGTTGCAACCTTATAAAAACCACCCACCTCTTTAATTTCTTGATTTTATATCTAACAATCAATAATAATTGTAACCTCCTCGTACCAAAAATAAATAGTCTTATTGTAGAAATTTTCACACAATAACTCACTTTTATTTTTTAAAAAGAATTCATCCTGAATTTTTTTTAACATTATCTCGAAATCTTTTTATCCCTTCAGTTATGAAATTTGCAGCCTCAAAAATAGTTATTGAATGGATCTTTGAACCCTTAAAAATCGACAATTTAGATAAGGTGTTACAAAATACACTATTTTGAAACTTGATACCTATTTCCTTTTGGAAAAAGTTTATATAAGGTTGCAACCTTAAAATGTAGAATTACATATGCACCTTGAAAATTCATTGGAAAATGTTGACTTAATGTTGAAAAACCTTCTAGTTGATCATCTCGACATCGAGATGTATGAATATAAAAAGAAAAAAAAATGATTTTTAGTCTCAGAAATAGTGCATCTAGTGCAATACATAGTTATCAAGACCGTCCATTTTCAAGATTTTCATATATTTATAGATCTACTTGATTTTAACTAGTTTTGGAGTTTAAAAATTTATAATTAGATATAAAAATAGATTTTCAGAAAATCTTATGAATTCTTTACACGAAAATTACATGTCATGATAAAACTTGGAGGTGCACCCTAACTGAATTATTTAAGGTTGCAAACTTATAAAAGCCACACCTTTTTTTTTTTTTTCCAAATCTATAATTCGGATGATCAATTTGAGGATTCTCTAACAATGAAAACACATTTTCGACCAAGGTGTTTCTGCATAGTATTTTCAAATAAACTTGCCCTCATAAGCATTTTCTTAATTCAAATAATTCTGCTCCTATATGGTTAATGAGCTTTTTGTGTCGAGCTATTATTAACTCTTTTGCTCCTATATAGCGGGCTTGGCCCTCGCCCCGCCCTTGTCCTCATAGGGCCAGCCTTGGCCCATTTAGGGTCATGTGAGGCCAAAAACAAATGAACGAAAAATAAAAGAAAGAAAGAGGAAAAAAAAGGGTTGGGTCAGACCAAACCAGGTCTGCACTGCCCTAGCCCAGCCCTCAAGCCACAAACTATGGCCCATGCCCTACTTTTTTAGGGCCAAACTGCACGGCCCATTGCTAGCCCTAGTCTCTTTCTACATCATGGCATAAACTATCCATATGAAGGAAAATTTTTATATAAGGTTATTTGGGATTATGTAATCTTGTTCTAGATTAATAATATTTTTGAACTTGTTCTCAAAAAAAAAAAAGATGCAACTTAAAAATTTCATCAGAAAAGGTAGTTTTAATGTTAAAACACCCGTTGATTGATCATCTCGATATCGAGATGAATGACCATGAAAAATAAAAAGATTTTAAGTATAAAAAATAGTACATTTTACAACATATTATCTATACCGTTCATTTTCAAGATTTTCATATGTTTATAGATCTACTTGATTTTAACTATTTTTAAAATTTAAAATTTTATAATTAGATATAAAAATAAAATTTAAAATGATGATAATAACATTTTACATTAAAATTATATACCATAATAAAATTTGAAAAGAACGTTACCTCTACCTTTACGGAGGCGTCGGTATGCCAACTGCAACCCATATAAAAGCCACAACCAAGAACTTATCACAAGAGTGAGATATGGAGTGACCATACAAAAGGAATGCACGTGAGAGAGGTGAAAGATTTTGATCAAAAACGCACGTGGGCAGGTTATGGGGGAATTGTTTGGCTCCCCAAACTCCAAGGTGACAACATTAGGATGAGACCGGTGCCACGTCGTACGAACTTCCCTATTATAATTAACGTACTTCTTACTCCACTCTTTTGAAATATAATAACAGTGATGATCCTGGGAAAATATCCTAGATCTTTTAGAGATTTTGTTATTTATGTAGGTGTGGGATTTGAATTTTTTAAATATTTATATCAAATTTAATGGTGATTATTTGAAGTTCTATACATGGTTTGAAAGACTCTCACAAAGTCATTTTTCATATAAATAAAGCAATAAATTAAGGACTAATCTAATGCCGTAGAGAGATGAGAATACAATAAAAAAATAAAAAATAAAAGCGCATTGTTTACAAAATCAAAGTAGAATCGGTTAAAGACCCCGTGTCATTAGAATGTGAATGTCATTAGGTTATGTGCGCCCTGATCATTATTTGAATTAGTTTGACTAGTGTGAGATAAGAGACCGAGACAAAACATCTAATTAAGCCAAATTTCCATGTTCCTGCAGGAGCATATAATTTATACGAAAAGTCCTTCATGAGTCAATGGGTGCAAGAGCCCGCTGACTCACCAAATGCCCATATTTAAGATAGACGTTGTAAAAAGTTCACAAGGTTTACATGGTGTAGAAAAATTTTCAACAAAATTACATTTTTAATGTCAAAAACTTTTTTTTTTTCGTTTTCATGATCATCATAACCTAGATCGTGAATCCCTAAAATTTTAGATTAAAAATCCATTTCTAAGATGGTTTAAGAGGTGGCCCGCATATATATAGTATGAGTCGGCTGACTCATAGAAACCCCATTCTAATCTATATTCAAAGGTAAAAATAGTATTTTTAGGACCCCAAATTTTGAACCTATCACCAAAAAACAAAAGTCTTTTATATGCGGTTGAAAAAGATAATATCTTAAGCTTAAATAGAGACCATTCAAATTTTGGACAGTCAAATGTAAGAGTTTAAGAACTCGAGTATAATTTTGTTCTTGTGAAAGTTCTCATCTTGGGGTTCTAAACTGAAATCCAAAATTTCAGATCGAAAGATTTCTCCTTCTAAAGGGGATTTACTCGAGGGTGCTGAATTGTATGCTCTGGCAAGCGCACATTATGGTCTCCCATTAATTAAAGGATGAAGTTTCTATAAAGCATAGGCTTTATGAAAATAAAATAAAGCCTCATCTCAATCCTCATTGAGAAAACAGTTTCGGTAACAGAAATCTCCACAATGGCTAAAATTTGAAACTCAAAGAAGTACAGATGTTGCAGATTTGTGAGCACTTATACTTATTTTTAGGGTGAAACGGACTGTCTAGATAATTTGCTACAATATACATTATTTTTAAAGCTTGAAATCCTAATTTATACATTATTTTTAAAGCTTGAAATCATAACATTTCTTCACAACCATAATGTTCAAGCCAAGGGTAAAATGGACTGTCTAAATAATTTGCTACAATATACATTACTTTTAAAGCTTGAAATCCTAAGTTTTCTTCACAACCATTCAAGCCAAGATGATCCATATAAAGGTTTCCAATACTTGAATTACAAATTTCAATAAGTTATGAAATAAAGATTTACTTATTTTGATATGGCTGCAGCCTTATCAAACCTTTTTTTTTTCCGGTGAGTCACTGGGGAGAGGGCCTCTACCTTTGGTAAAAATCGAACCAATGATTTAGAGTTGCAAATCGTCAAACGCTAACCAATTTGCTTAGGCTCTTTTCCTATTTCCCAAATTAAATCATATCTAATGTGACATTTGCGTTTTCTATACTTTTGATGTGTTCAAAGTCCGTGCTGAGGGAGAGATAAAC